AGTTAGGCCCCGATGATCCCTGCCTGCTCTGCCTCCATCCATCTGGGCTCCCGCCTGCAGCGCCTCCCGGTGGCCCTCAAGTGACCCTGGCGCGGCTGTTGCAAGGCGCCTGCGCCAGGTCCAGGTCCAAGCGTAAGCTTGGCTCTGAGTCTAGGGGGCGTGGCCTTGTGGGAATTGGAAAATGATTGGCCAGCGGAACTAAATGTTGTTCCTAAAGCGCATCGGGATTGGCCTGTTAGACGTCCTGGGGAAGTGAACACTGGGTATTAAACCACAATTAACCAAATGCTGATATGGGAGGGGCCTCAGCGAGTCCTCAGTTGCACCCAAAAGTGATTGGATCACAGGGCGTAGTGGGCATGATCAAAACTCTAACAGGCCGAGGGGCACGAACTTGTGAGTCTGGCTGGGGTAGTGAGTCTGGGACTTCACCCAGCCCAAGGCGTGGCTGGGTCCCTCTCCCTCTTCGCTGAACTGGGCAGCTGTGCAAGTCTTGGAGGGTACCCATGCCTCCATCCTTCCTGAGATCGTGTATCCCGTGTACAGATGAAGCCCTAGACATCTACAGGAAAGGTGTGCAAACACAATCTGGATGTCGGCTCAATGGGAAAACTGCGAGGTAGGACGGATCCTGCCCCAGTAGAAGACTGATTTGAATACGGGGCCTCTGGGTTTCCCTAATTCTCCCTCTCTTCCCCTGCGGCCTGCATCTTCAGCGGAACTCTGTCCTGTTGTTCGCCTTTGCCCACGCACTCACCTTTCTGCCTTCAGAGGAAAACTGCACGACCTGTGGCACCTACTGGGATCTGATAGGAGACTATCAGACTGTGTCACATCTACGCATCTGGGTAATGCAGCTGGGTATCCGTGTGGGGTATGTGACTTCTGATCGGTTTTGCTAGACCCCTGAAAGCCTGTTTACCTCTGAAAGGGGTTTGCGTCACCCCTGAAAGCCTGTTTACCTCTCTGTCTCACCCAGGAAGCTGTGCAGAACCTCCTGAAAGAGGTAGCTAGATGGCCCAGTGAGGTCTCGGATGCTGGCCCAGTAGTTTGAACTTTTCCTGTGGGCTAGGGGACACATGGAAGGGTTTTGAACAGGTGAGTGGCAAGTTTGGGGCAAATCTCGCAGTCAGGTGGACCCATGCACTGGAGATTTCACTCCAGTGAAAATCCACAAGGTGGCTCTCTTGTCGATACCCTCTCCTGGGGAAAACTGAGCTCAGTGAGGAGGTAGGGGCAGATTTTGCGCTGAAGTCCTGTCTTGGCTGCTGTTCAGGGAACAGGGTCTTGGTTGAGTGCGGCTTTTCCAAATCCATCTTGCAGCATAGCTTTTCATCTATAGCTCTCCCCACTTATTGCCTCATTCACTCATCACTCAATATTTCATGGTTCAAATTACTAGGAAAAGAAACCTGACTGGTGTGGGTCAGGCTACTTTGACCAGCCTATATAAATTATCTACCTCGAGGGGTGCCTGGGTGGTTCAGTTGGTTGAGCTTCTGACTTTGGCCCAGGTCATGGTCTCATGGTTTGTGGGTTCGAGTCCCATGTCAGGCTCTGTGCTGACAGCTCAGAGCCTGGAGCCTGCTTCGGATTCTGTGTCTCTTTCTGCCCCTCCCCAGCTCATACTCACACTCTGTCTCTGTCAAAAATAAATAAACTTAAAAACGTTAAAAAAAAATAAATTGTCTACCTCGAATCAAGACTTTGTCTTTGACCAAGATGTATGTGAAGTCTTACTTGGCACAAAACTGTGCAGCAGAGTGTGTATGAAGGAGTGGATGAACTCAATGATTGACATTTCTGCAGCCCTGTGATAGATTGTATTATTGTTCTGAATATATACTGTCCTTCCTGTAGACTACTCACTGTAGGACTGTAGACATTCATATCCCACTTACAATAGGCTTAGGTGTAGCACTTGCTTTGGCCAATGGGATATGAGTAGAAATGTAAAGTATCACTTCCAGTAGAAGCTTTAAGTACCAGGAAGTAGTCTGGCATCTTGCCTTTTCTTTTCCCACTTGTGAACCACTGATATTTGGAGGCTAGTTGTTGTTATGTCAGAATAAGTCTAAAAAAAAAAAAAAAAAAGAACAAGTCTAAACCAACTGTCACAGAACTAGTACCCAGAGGTAGGGTATTACCACATTAAAAATGAACCTGAATTATATGGCATTGGCTTTGGAGCTGGGCAGTGGCTGATGAGGAAACCATCAGTGAAAGTTGGAAAGATGGTGACATGTGTTAGGCAGTGGTGAAGCATTTGGTTAAACTCTAAGCTGGAAATAACTAAGAATGTAAATGATGTCCAAATGAGCTTGGGGCTTTGGGGGGAAAATTTGAGAAAGAATATTAGTAGCATACTTTGATTGCCTTTGGATGCATTTGACAAGTTATTGTAAGAAAGAGATGACCTCGAAAATAATTGGCCAGTTTTTAAGCAGAAATGGAAGAGAATATAGAAACTTCTGGGCAGGTGGTCTACATTTTTAGCCAGTGAAAGATATGACTGATAAGGCCCTTAAACCACAAAGTGATTAAAACTCATCTTTGTGGCAAGGGTGATATCAAGTGTATGGCTCTCGTGCCTTTTGTAAAAACCTCTGACTTGGTCAAAGTGGTTCCCAATAAAGCCTTTCAGTTAGTCAAGATGATTCAGAGAAGAGAGTTTAAGAGTGTAATTCCCCCAAAGGAGTGAGTAGGCTCCATTTGCTTACAATTAAGTCTAAAGAGAGAGGCATGTTTGAAAAGAATTGGTGGGTTTGGCAGTTGGCCCACAAGTGGCTGGAATCCAATAGATAAGAAGCCTCTTTCCCTCCTCACAAAAAGGCACTATCATGGATTTTTAAAAGACCATGAGTGTTTAAGACCTTGAGGGCTCCCAAATTTCTATGGGCATGAAGGAGGCAGAAAGCTGCTTTGCCTCAGAAGGGCATAACTTCCAGTGTTTTCTCAAATGTGGCCAAGGAGAATAAATGGGAATGGATGAGCTACTTAATGGTAACTAGGGAATTAATCCCAGAGAGCAGTCCCACTCTCAGGAAAAGTGGGGGGGACTTTGCAACATCTGCTCAGCAAGGTATTAGAATTACTCTGGGCCAGTAAGTGCTGTGTGTCTTTGTCCTAATTTTTTTTTTTTTAATTTGAGAGAAAAAGAGTGCCTGCATGCAGGGGGTGGAGGGAGGGTCAGAGGAGACTGAGCGAATCTCAAGCATGCTCCACACCAGCATGGAGCCCAACATGAGGCTCAATACCACGACTCTGGGATCATGATCTGAGCCAAAATCAAGAGTTAGATGCCATCCAACTGAGCTATCCAGGTGCCCCGCTCATTCTTCTTTCTAAATGGGAGTGTTTACTGCCACTATCCTGTCTCTGTTCCACTTCATATGTTAAATGTGTGTGAGGGGGTGGGGGCAGAGATAACTTGTGAGGAGGGGGAGAAGGAGGAAGGGGGTGAGGATTTTTGGTTTATAGGTCTCTGGATCAAGAGAAGCCACCTCTGGACCTGATATAGAGACTATTAGAGGTCCTGCTCTTGATTCTGATGCCATGATTAGATGGGTCATTTGGGTGGTCTCCCCTGGGAAGGATGCATATTTATTTTGCATGTGGAAGAAACACAAAGGTCATATTTGTGACAAAGAAGGCAGACTAAGAAGATTCCACAATTGTTCAAAAACATTCATTAACCCTCTTTATGGGGTCCCACCATATGAAGAGATTATATATACCTACTCTGTTGACATCAGCTTTGGGTATGTGGGGCTTGCTTTTGGCAACGGAACTTGAGTAGGAGCAACATGTACCACTTCCAAGAAGAAGCTTTAAGAGCCATCAAGACATCTGCCACCTTTCTCCTCTTCTTTGTCTTAAAATTCCAGATTGAGGCTGTTCC